AACCTCAAGACAACTTTGAATGATCACTTAATGAAATTACTAGCAATTTTTTTTCAATGAAACTTTTCCAGTCATTAAAACATTATTACGATTTTTTAATGAAAAGGTGTCTGTATTTAGAAATAAATTGAATTAACTTATTAATATTTATAATTATATTCAATTAATTTATAAATTTTCAATGTGTACTAATTACTTTGTTACTTGCTGTCTTTGAAGAAACAGATTGAGAGAGATTTGAACAATAAATTTCACTTATAAGTAATTTGACAAGTGTGTAACTCGTATGTGTTTAATATTTCAATAAATTAATCTCTTGTATCGAATTGAAACATAAACATGTTTGTACCTTGAAGTACAGTAGAACCACGCTTTAGCGGATACCTCTCTACAAAGGACGGTTTTCATTTGCAAAATTGCCATTTTTACAATTTAACAACTCTTCGGTAAGAGGCCACCTCTCCCTAAAGGACACTTTGGCTCTGTAACTAGGTGTTGTCCTTTACAGAGAGGTAGTTATACTGTAGCAACTCTCAGGTAAGAGAACACCTCTCCCTAAAGGGCACGTTGGCTCTGTAACTAGGTGTTGTCCTTTACAGAGAGGTAGTTCTACTGTAGCAACTCTCAGGTAAGAGAACACCTCTCCCTAAAGGACACTTTGGCTCTGTAACTAGGTGTTGTCCTTTACAGAGAGGTAGTTCTACTGTAGCAACTCTCAGGTAAGAGAACACCTCTCCCTAAAGGACACTTTGGCTCTGTAACTAGGTGTTGTCCTTTACAGGGAGGTAGTTCTACTGTAGCAACTCTCCGGTAAGAGGACACCTCTCCCTAAAGGGCACGTTGGCTCTGTAACTAGGTATTGTCCTTTACAGAGAGGTAGTTCTACTGTAGCAACTCTCAGGTAAGAGAACACCTCTCTCTAAAGGACACTTTGGCTCTGTAACTAGGTGTTGTCCTTTACAGAGAGGTAGTTCTACTGTAGCAACTCTCAGGTAAGAGAACACCTCTCCCTAAAGACACTTTGGCTTTGTAGCTAGGTGTCCTTTACAGGGAGGTTCAATTGTATATCATTGTTCTAACTTATCCCTAGTGCTATGATATGCTATGATAATCATGATGGCTAGTCAGCGATTGTTTTTACTGCAAGTGTACCACATGCCTACACAGGTAGAAAGCAGTTCGACTTTGGTTCTTACAAGTATAACAAAACTCCGTTTGTTTACTTAAACTCACTGGTGAATTTGGACTTCTGTAAAAAGATTGGGAGTCATTGAAACTATTTTCTTAAGAAAAATTACCCATTGAGGGATTCGATACCGTGTTGTGGCTGTCAAAAATCAACGGTTTATAACCTGTTTTCAACCAATTAACGAAATGGTACATGTCATTGATTATATCTGTAATCTTGAAGAAAGAAAACAGAAAGATATTTAAATTCATGAAAATACGTCAACAAGTGCATTTTCATAGTGTTATCTGAATTTATTTCATATATTCATGTCAATAAATATGCCACAACAGTAGCTATTGAAAGCTTAAGACAGATAGGCAAGCTATCTGCTATTTGAAACTTTTTTTCACTTACCCATTACAATTTTCAAAAGGAAATGTTATTTTATATATAGCGTGAGTGGATCACATACCCACGTGATTTAGTTTAAATCAAAGAAAAGCCTTGATAAAGAGTGGCGTGTTGCCCCTAGAAATATTGGCTGATGAATAAATTTAGATCCAAAATATACTTTATATATATATATATATATATATATATATATAACGAATGAAGACATTAAGACGCGTATGTTTCTTTTCACAAATAAATCAAACTTCTACCTGCTCTTACTACGATGAAATCTTCACAATTCATCCTATCATACTTCATCCCTAAGGTTATAAATAATCGTTATTTCTCCTTAAAATAAATTTCGATTTTTTGTTCAAAAGAAACACATGCGGGACAATTTTAAAATGTCGTTCTATAAATAAATATCAGTACTTTTCAATAGAGCCATCTTCCATATAGAAGAAATAGGAAGTCGCTAAGTAATGGTTGTTTGCAATTCTGCCTTAATCGCCAGCTTAGTGGTTCTTTTGACAAAAAAAAAACCTAACGATTACATTAAAATGACTGGAAATTAATTGACACCATTAGGAAGTTGGGAAAATAAAAAAAAATAGAAGATTGTCCTTAATTACAATTCCTCATGGGATTCCTCTTGAGTAATGTAAAATAGAAAGTGGTATTTTAGGTTATGGATTTTATCTTCAATTGGTTGCTGAAGTGTACCGAAAAAGCATTTAACAATTTTAATTATCTCAAAATAACTAGGCTATATCAGAGTTTTATAGTTTTTTTTTTTCCTCAACGTTTCGACAAAAAAAGTTTGTCTTCTTCAGAAGTAAATAAAAATAAAGCATTTGGCAAGGTACATATAAAATGAAAGGATTTAAAAGCACGAATGTTTCTTTTATACATAATACAAACTTCTACTGCCCTTACTGCGATGAAAAAATATTGGGAAGGCTTTGCTCATTAGTAGTGAACCCTCCCAGCGGTTTCGCAAATATAATGACCGCTTCTCAAAGCTCTAATACTGTATTAGACGATTCTGCTTATATACGCAGCACTGAAGGGTGGAATCTCAGAAATGGTTTTCAAGAAAACTATGGACATAAGCTTATAGGACAGGTATCGCAGTAAGGGCAGTAGAAGTTTGTATTATGTATAAAAGAAACATTCGTGCTTTTAAATACTTTCATTTTATATGTACCTTGCCAAATGCTTATTTTTATTTACTTCTCCTGACGAAGATAACAGATTTTTGTCCAAACGTAGAGAAATAAACTCTAACTGGCCGAAGGGTTTTTTTTTTCATAGAAATATGAATGCCGGCCAGGCAGCCTCTACCTTCAGGATATATCAGAAAGATAATAGAAATAAACAATAGATGCAAAAAGAACGTTTATATTGTTTAACAAGTCATAAAACAATGCATTTTTGTTGGAATGATAAGCTCTGTGCTGAAGGCAATAATGTGTTACAGTACTAGTTATGGAAAATCTGTAAAAATAAATCAACCGGTATATCATCTTCTTTCTTCTTCTTTCTTATCTCCACTATTTTTAGGGTATCAAACTTGTAGAGCTTGAGATTTTTAATGGTGTCCACCAGGGATGAGTAGAGCTCATGAATGGATGAATCAATACAGTCAATAATGTGTTTGAAAGCCATCATGATTGGGTGAAGTAGAATGCGTATGCCTTTGTCATTAAAACTGAGAGCACTACTCAGTGGCAGGCCGACTTAGCTCCAAAAGAAATTGCCGCCTCTGACATGAGGAAGAGACGCCATGTGCATCCGCTCCTAACATAGAGTACAGACGCTGATCATCCTGTATCCCTGGATTAGGAGCCCTTACAGGGTACTATCAGCCGGGCCAGTTGAGCCCAGGTTTTTTAGTGAGCTTGTTACTGCTCCCCCTCCTTTTTCATCCGGGCTTGGGACCGGCAAAGACGGAGTTCCAGTATATCATGCTTTCAGTCTATAACCTTATTAAATACTTTGCACTTACAAGTTTGTCCAAACACTATTTGGTTATTTGCATTCGCGGATTGGATTTTTTTAAATATCGGGAGCCATTAGAGCTTTTTTTTTTTATATAAAAAAAAGTGTCCAATGCGGGATTCGATCACGGGTCGTAGCAGTCGAAAACAAACGGTTTATATCAAACTTCTTCCGATCCTTTTATGTAAATACTAAACGATGTTATAACATATTTATATTTCACAATAGAAAATACTCCGTTTTTTTTTCTTCAAGAAAACCATCTCAAAATGAGTGGAGGGGGATACAATATGCCATCTTTGCAATTAAAAAATAGAAATAGAAATATCTCATTACATCTTTACATCTTTGAGTGCCAGTATATTAGCTAAGAAAGAGAAACGTTCTTCTCAAAAGTAAACAACAACCAACTTACCTCAGTACAAGGTATTTTAACCAGCGTCATATCAAGTCGAATGGTTGCTCTGTTTCTGTATAACTTTTACAAAGCTGTAACTAGGAACTTGGATTTATCTCCTCCATTGTATGATGGTGATTGATCATTGTGAGGATATCGTTGTAAGCCGGCAATGAGAGAGGAGAATCTGACTGGTGTCTTAATAAAGGCTTTGTATGTATATTATAACCATATTTCAGAATCCCTGAATTTGGAGATGAAAAATAGATATTGAATAGTTTACACTTATATATGGAGGTCAATAGAAAGATAGTCTAAACCGTTGGTTTTTCGGCCGCTATGACCCGGGTTCGATTCCCGCATTGGGCACTTTTTTTCAGATAAAAAAATGCTACAATGGCCCCCGATTCTTGTAAATATCCAACACCACCAACGAGTGAAAATAACCAAACTCTGGCATATTTGTAAGTGCAAAGTCGAAATGCTTTTCACATATGTAGACATGTGGTGTACTTACAGTAAAAGCAGTCGTCAACTACTACCCACCATGATTATAATGGCCTGTACCACATGTACTAGGGATAAAAAAAAAACACTTATATCAATATATTATTTTCCATTTTTTTTTTCTGATATAATAAAAAAGATACTCTAATGGCTCCTAATTCTTGCAAAAGTCCAACCCCACCAGCAAGTGCAAATAACCAAGCAGGGCTCTGGTACATTTGTAAGTGCAAAGTCGAACTGCTTTTTAAATATGTAGGCATGTGGTGCACTTACAGTAAAAATAGTCGCCTACTTCTAGCCAACATATTTTCGTTTTCTCTTTTAACTTTTAAAACGTGGCTAAAGTATGCATGATTATAATGGCCCGTACCACATGTACTAGGGAAAAAAAAACACTTATGTCAATATATTATTTTCAATTTTTTTTTTTTCTGATTAAAAAAAAAAAATGCTCCATGACCCGGGCAACACCCGTGTTTTACCCGATTGAATGTTTTGATTCAAATACTATTTGTTACAATTATAAATTGTGGTCATGTGGCCTATTGTTCATGGCATCTGCCCGGTAAGCGGAAGGTCGTGGGTTCGATTCCCATCCCTTGATACTTTTTTTATTTTATCCATTCTGACCAAAATCTATCCGTGAACTTCACACAGTGAACTTCACACAGACAGAATAAGGCAATTATATAAGTAGATATATTGTGACGAAGAAATATAATTTATATTTATTATTTAATTATTCAACGAAAGTATTTGAAACAGATTTAAAATTTTATATTTGTAAAATCATCATTTAGTTGTCTAACTTGCTTGCTCGATATTCTCTAGCTGTAGATAGTTTTGTTAATAATTGTCGACTAGTCGCCGTGACGTCATCAATAAATACTCTTTCACATCTTCAGATATATAAATACCTGATTTCTACGCTACAATATTGTAACAAAGTATTTATTAATTTTATTATTTTTATTAACAGAGTGGTTATTTTTTTATGATTATATTTTGCTACTCTGTAAATTTCCCACGTGGCTTATCTTTTGTTTACCATTCATAGTTTGTCATTGCCTGAAATAAATTATTGTCTCCTCCGGAAGTTGTATCCTCCCGATAGTAATATACGGCCTCCCAGTTTGGTGCAAATATATTACAACCAGAGACAAAAATAGGATAAACGCATTTATGAGAATCTGCCTTCGGACAAGTATAGGAGCTCCATTCAACCTATCAAACAAGATACTGAAGGAGGATTTGAACCAACCCGATCTAGAAGATATGTACCAAACTTCCGTTAAGAAATTACACCTTCAAATGCAAAATTCAAATAATTCAACCATACAAGATATTCTACAAAATAAAGGAGATATCAATCCCCGATTCCGACGACCCGGCCCTGACGTTTAGTTAAGAACTCATCTCCCAACAGCTGCCCTCCTGCAAGGTCCGGGGGACCACCTCTACTCCACCAACTCGCCAAGTGTAAATAGCCAGGACAAGGTGACTCGCGAGCTGTGCTCGAATGTAACACCTGTAAATTGAGACGAAATAAATAAATTACAAGTTTTTGTCTTCCCTAATTTTTCACGTGGCAATATTATCACAATATATTATTTCAAAAGTCTCTTCAAGGAAACCAAATAGGAACATTATATAAAGATCATTAAGAAGAGAACGTATAATAAATTACTATTCGTTTAATAAGTCAGATGTAAGAGAGAATTTAATACAAAAATAGTTCACACTTATATATGGAGGTCAGTGAAAAGATAGTCTAAACCATTGGTTTTTCGACCACTATGACCCGGGTTGGATTCCCCGCATTGTGGGCACTTTTTTCTGATTGAAAAAAAAAAGTACTCCAATGGCTCCCAATTCTAGCAAAAGTCCAATCTCACCAGCGAGTGCAAGTAACCAAACGGGGTTTTTGTACATTTGTAAGTGCAAAGTCGAACTGCTTTTCATATGTGTAGACATGTGGTGTACTTATAGTAAAAGTCGAACTGCTTTTTAAATATGTAGGCATGTGGTAAACTTACAGTAAAAGCATTCGTCAACCTCTATCCACCATGATTATCATAGTCTGTACCACATGTACTAGGGATAAAAACACTTATATATTATCACAATATATTATTTCAAAAATCTCTTCAAGGAAACCTAATAGGAACATTATATAAAGATTATTAAGAAGAGAACGTATAATAAATTACTAGTCTTTCAAGAAGCCAGATGTAAGAGAGAATTTAATACAAAAATTATGAAAATTTATCAAAATTTAATGAACCCATCCAAATTTAATTTAATTTCCGTTATCTACGGATTCATTGGAATTAATGGCTTGATGAGCCATCCATCAACCGTGTTTACGAAGCAATTTTAATTATAATCCATCAATTGCTGTGTGCTTATTAAGAAGTTGAGTAATTATCCACCAAAATACCGAGCATTTCCAAAGATATTTGTCATTTATTCCTTTCCAAATATTTGAGAAGGAAGTCAAATGATTTTGGTGAAAGGATAACTTTTCTATAGAAATGGATGAATAGTTCACCAATTAGTGGTGTTATATATTTATATAATCGTGGACAAAACTTAAAGGAAGTGGAAAGTCTTTGATGTCGCCGGTCATCTGTTTTTTTTTTTTTTTTTTTGAAGGATACAGAGGCAATTTTGGCCGAAATTTAGCTTTCTGCTGTCCTTTTTCACTTATCCCAAATACATTGATTGATAAAACCTGAAGGAAATGAAAATAAAGTCTTTGATGTCGCGCGCGCGCGTCGGTCGCAGTGAATTTAGCTTTCTGACGTCTTTTTTTTTTTCACTTATCTCAAGTACACTCAAGGACAAAACTTGAAGGAAGTGAAAAGAAAGTCTTTAATGTCCCCGGTCGTCTATTTTTTTTTTTTTTGAAGGAGACAGAGGCATTTTAATTCATTTATTAATTCACTAAGTTATCTCGTGTGTTTTGAATAAAGGTCACTGTGTATCAAATATCTTTCAGAGTTATTGTCTGAATCCCGATATACATGCTAAAATGTACAACTTCCTTAAGTTTTGTTCACACTTGGTTATCTCGTGTGTCTTCAATAAAGGTCACTGTAATATCTTTCAGAGTTATTGTCTGAATCCTGATATACATGCCAAAAGATACAACTTCCTTAAGTTTAATCCATGTTGTATACAGCTATTCTCACACTTGCTAAAATTTACTATTAAAGAATAAATGGATCAAACGTGTCAGATCTCTATAATAATATTTATCTTAGTATCATAATACTTCATGAATATCACTCTGAAATCAGATTTGAAAAGTAGTAAACAAAATAACAATTTTAAACCAAATTCCAATATTTCAAAAAAAAAAAGATGGAACTTCTTAGAATCGAACCCACAATCTTATATTCAACATTGAATTTTGTTTAAGTAATTACTTCAAATTTTATTATTAATTTAAAAATTTGACCAGTGTTTGTGTGACAAAATTCTTTCCTTTTCTTTAAAATAAAGATAATTCATCCAGTAAATCTTTTTTATTACCTCGACGTTTCGACAAAATTCTTTTGTCCTCGTCAGGAGTAAACAAAAATTAAAACCTTTGGCAAGGCGTTAAAAATTATTCTAAGGCTCCAAGAACGCACTTTGAGCCTTAGAATAATTTATAATGCATATAAAAGCAGAATCGTCCAATACAGTATCAGTGCTCTAAGAAGTGGTCTGGTAGATTAAATTAGCGAAACCACTGAGAGTTCACCATTGATAGGCAAGCCCTCTCAATATTTTTTCATTCAAGTAAGGACAGTAGAAGTTTGTTTTATGTATAAAAGAGACATTCGTGCTTTTTTTAATGTTTACTTCTCTCATATATAAATGGCTTGTTAATGCCCTACAAAAATGATAATCATTTATGCGTACGCAAGTACAAAGGCCATAAAATATCAGTACCCAAATAGAAAAAGAAGCTAATATAAGTAGAGAACAAAACGATATCATTCGATAAATTCCTCACAATATTCACATACATCTCTAAAGTTCTTGGAACAAGAAAAAAAAAAGATCCAAACAGATTATATAGGCACATGTGTTACTTTACATAAAGTCAAACATCGCCTTTATATCTTTCTGAGATCTTTTGGTTCATATTTATGTATGAATTTAATTAAATTATAATAAAATTATATTATTTTTTATATTACAAAAAGATTGTCAAAGGATATTTGCATATAGATTGTTTATTCAGCTAGCGTAATTTGTAAACACAATATTGAAGTACGTTATATAAAAGGATTAAAGCAAAAATGTTATTTTACATATAAAACAAATTTTACTATCCTTAAAGCTTATGTACATAACCAGGCCCTTTTAATAGTTTCATCGCAGTAAAGACAGTAGAAGTTTTTTTTTGTGTGTAAAAGAAACATTTATGCTATAATGCTTTCATTTCTTACGTATGGATGGCAGTTATTGCATGAAATTAATTAATAATGTATATCAAAAATACTCAAATCATCATTTATTTAGACAAATATTAATCTAAGAAAAAAAAAAAGGCATCTCCTAATCGTTTAACTAAAAGTTGCTGATAACTTGAGCCATCTATCGGAATAAATATCAACTTATCGTTGATTTTTCAATTATTCCAGAATTGACCAAATATACCCATTCTTTATAAATCGAGAAAAACTAACCACTAACCAAATATTGATCTATCACTTTTAAAATTAGATAATATAATTTATAAATTTAATTGCCATCTATCGTTAAAATGTTACACAAATAAATTTACTCGCAATGCGTTTCTTTTAAACATCATCAAATATTATCTCTACAGTTTTTGGCGAAACCGCTGAGAGGGTTCACTACTGATGAGCCAAGCCCTCTCATTCAATAACTCATTTTATAAATTTAATTGCCATCTATCGTTAAAATTTTACACAAATAAATTTGCTGGCAATGCGTTTCTTTTAAATATCATCAAATATTATCTCTATAATTTTTGGCGAAACCGCTGAGGGTTCACTACTGATGAGCCAAGCCCTCTCATTCAATAACTTATATCATTGCATTAAGGTCTGTAGAGATAATATTTGATATTTAAAAGAACACCAGACAACAGAAAATTTACATGGACCCAGAGCAGCAGCTTTACACACCCAAGATAGAGAACATTGCTGCTGCTGTGATAGAGATGTATGGAGACATCTGAGGTTCTTTATTGGACACGACAACAACAACAGAAAATTGACATAGACCCAGAGCAGCAGCTTCACACACCCAAGATAGTGGACATTGCTGCTGCTGTGATAGAGATGTATGGATACATCTGAGGCTCTTCATTGGACACGACAACAGCAACAACAATCCTCTAAGTTCTTTAGCGTAGTCTTTTTACGGTATAATGTTCAATATTGAAGATTATATAGATGTGTGTGTTTGTTAAAAATGAATTTGGAACTATTATAGACGCGTATAATTCTTTTAAGAATTAAACAATTTCTACTGACCTTACTGCAATGAAAAAAATAAATAATAATAATAATAAATTAATTAATTAATTGATGTGAGGGCCTGGCTCATCAGTGGTAAACCCACCAGCGGTTTCGCCACTTT